TACCTTTTTGTTTTATTCTTGAAAATATCTCCCTTTTGATACTCTGCATTTTATCATTGTTTGTTTACTGTCTTTGCACAATAACTATATAAAGAAATTTTAAATCCTAATGAAAGACTTTAAAGTTTAAGTGTGAGGTAGGGTCCTCTACAATGTCAAAAAATAATAATTTTGCAAAGTATAAAAAGATACTGATTTCATTCAGTGAAATTCATTCCACTCAAAACAATACATGGTTATATCAAATAGAACAAAGCCATAACCAGCCACATGGAAATACTTCTCATCCATTTTCAAGATATTCGAAATTAACTTAGAAATTTCTGTTTAAACAGTCTATAGTAAATACGGCATCTTTAGCAAGCTTTTGCACACAAATATCATGCATTTACTTTAACAAAAGATAAAATCAGTATAAATAAGTGAACTTAAATAAGCATGTTAACCATCCTGCAATATCTCCTTCTCAGCAAAAAGAAGAGGGCATATGATCAACAGAAATTAATTCCCAGCAGATAAATTGAGTTAGTTTTATAATGCCACAGTGAAAACTGTGGTTTGAAAACAGAGGCATGAGCTAAGCAGAAGTCTCTTTTAGCAATAGGAAAGCAGAGAGCATTATAGAGAAACTGGAGAAAAAGCACGCATTTGTTCTAAAAATCGATAGATTAATTTTAAAACCAAATGTACTGTCCTATTCCATTAATAGTACCATAATTGTAACAGTGATAGTCACAACAGTAATAAATATTTTGCTCACTGAATTACAACAATTAGAAATGTATGCACTTTTGCAGATGCAACAACTTAAAACATTTTTCTTCAGGAAAAAGATCTTATTGTACAATTATTTTTCCATAACTTATTTCTTGCTGTTGCAAAATCTGTTTAAATGGAAACAAATACTAGGCTAAATCAAATAAATTTCATTGCATTGCATATTACATATAGATTTTGGTTCATTTATAATCTTAAATGGTCTACCAATTTAATTTTCAAAAGTTTTAAATCCTATTGACTGGTATTTCCAGCAATATATTTTAGGTATTAATCTCTCTAACAAAATAAAATGTCAAAGTCTCCTCTATAAATAATGGGTTTGTCATATGCCCTATTGCTGTCAGTTTTGTGGAGATGTATGAAAACTCCCCAGTTATTCAAATATAGCTAATTCAAAGGGAGTTCATCTGATCAACATGGGGCTCAGATTCTCAAAATCTAAGCTTCTCAATCTGATTATCCATGTGGTTTCCATTCGCAACTTGCAATGCAACTATATTTATTGGTAAAGGATATTTATTTCAGTGATAAAGTTAAGGAAACAATTAAACAGACACATTTATTTTAAAGAAATATGTAAGCACTAATCAAAAGATTGAAGGGTTTTTTTTAAATTTGGTATTGTTTTACTTCCTGAAACATTAATTTCTTGCTTGACATTAGTCTTCTTAATAAGTAGACATGTCTATTTAAATCTCAGTAGATAAACCTCAATGTAACACATTACTGAACAGGTGAATTTTTAATAATGACACAACCTCTAAAACATCATCACTTACCTGTCTTAAAGATTTTTTTTCCTATACTTTCCATATTGAAGTTCTTGGCTGGTTTTGCGAATTTGTTTGTGCCTCTGTAAGGTACATAGTACACATCGCAAAAGCAGAACTTTCTGCCCCCGGTTTCAGTTTATAGAAATGGAATATGTGAGCCACAAAAGCAGCTAACAGTGATCCAGAACACATATGTAGAAATTTATCTTCATTATACTCACTGTGACACCAATGGGTCTTCAGTAGAAGGAAAATCAGGATAATTTCATTTAGCAACTCTCAGTTACTATTTTTCCTTTTCTTCTCACAGCCTTTAATTCCCATAACTTTCAGCAATGCAGTATTTTGAGTGAGAGTACCACAGCTTCCCTCCACATTGCTTAAATAAACACTTTTGTGTTATTTTTGACCTTCCCAGTGGCTGGTTTGTTTGATGTCCCCTGCTACTGCACACTTGATGCTATTCATGATCTTGACACTCTACTTCTCTTTCATACCTTTGTTGAGCAGAAGAATTATTACCTGCTGTCACTCCACAGACAGAATCTAATAGTACCATTTTATTTTTCCACCTTTTCATTCATTCTCTAAAGCTTTTTGTTTGATCACATTTTTTGTTTGTATATCTGTTTGTTTTCCAGTCCAGGAACTGGGCATAGTATTTAAAAAGTTAAACATATTAGGCTGCTGCATATCTGTTGATTGATCCAATGATAAATTTAGTGTTCACTTATTTTCTCTGTTGCTTTCCTAATAAATGTTAACTGCATATTTGCATTTTTTCTAGCCTCCTAAGCACCAGACCAACATTTTCACAGAAACATTTAACTGTTAAATTAAAGCTAAGTGAAATATGTTAAATATAAAATTGTTTTCATATCTGTTTATATTTATCTTCATTGAATTTAATTTTTAATTTTAATAAATTAAAATTAATTTAGTCAGTCATTCAGGCCACTTCTATTTAACACCTTTAATAACTTAGTATTATCACCAAATTTACCATATAATTATCACTACTTTTCCAGCATATTCATATGTTCAAATATATTTTGATACATATGGATCACAGAATATCACCTCTGGAACTTCACTCTTGGCCTCTGTTACCTGTGAAAACTGACAAAAAATATTTTCTCCAGTATTTTACATCTTTCTATGACTGCAACAACTTTCCTGTTAGCCAGCTGAAGTTTCCTCTGTGTTTTTTTCTTAGCCATCTGTGCAGTTTCCTGTGGTGTTTGGTAATAATGACACTGTTAGATGTGTTCTAGCTCTTTTTAGAAAGATATTATTATATCTTTCAACCCTATTGCCTCATACTGATTTAATGGACCATACTCTTTCAATCTAAAACTGGCAACAGAGTTGCAACCCCACATCTCAAAAGCTATCAAAATAGCTTTAAATAAAGAATTAATGGTACGCCACAGGTACTGTTTGGCTATTTCATCTCCGAGTGTCTTTAAAAATCTTAGGTGTATATCCCTTCATTTTGTTTTGTACCACATCAAAGTGACTTCATATGAGCTACCCCACAAAAAAATTTAGGTGTGAGAATCTACAAGTCATTCCATAGCACAAACAGAATTAAAATGTTCTGACCATTTTGTTCCTATAGCTTCTTCTAAGTGCTTCTGTTTTCCTTTATTATTTTTCAGCATTACAGATGGTCTCCCAGACTTCCCTCTGATCTGTTGTAGAAATAGAATTTCTTAATTCTTGTTTCTTTCAACTATTTTAGTCAAAAAATCTCTTAAATATCTTGGAATTGATTTGATTAATGTTGCTCTGGGTTTATTGTTGGTTTTTGTTTGTTTTTTTTTTTTTTTTTTTTTTTTTTTTTTTTTTTTTTTTTTTTTTTTTTTTTTTTCAGTCCTTACATTTTCTTTTAAAATCTTCAGCTAGCTGAAGGACATTTTGCCCTCAGGAGCCTCTGAGACCCTGCTGATTAGCCATGTGGTTTCCCTTTTACCCTTTCTCAAGCTTTTCTAGCAAAGCAGAATATATTTGTTCTCTGCTTTCAATAATACTTTAAATAGGATCTGTGCCATCTGCCATGACTTAACCCTCTAAAGTAATCCTTCTAGTTTCTCCCTAACAGGAGTCTTTGTTTATAATTGTCTTTTCAGAAGTTCAGAACTGTGGGGAGATTTCTTGGCTTCCTTGCAGCTCTGCAAGGATGTTGAATCTAGACAGATAAGTCTTTTGAACAACATCCACTTGGCTTTTGTTTCCTCTCTCATGGCATCTTCAACAGTCCAGTCCATGAAAACCACTGACTTAGTCTCAGCAGTCCTCTAAGACTCCTTCTAAGATCCAGTCTCAGTAACAGCCTCCTCCCCAGGGGGAAGCTCCAGGGCAGAGTGGTGGCTGTCCTTCTCCACCCCTCCTTAGACAATAGCCTACCACTATCTTGTGGTCAGCTTTTATTAACAGCATCACTGCCTTCCGATGTACCCAGCACATCACTAATCAGAGAAAAAAGAAAACCCTGTCCCTTGGGGATATTCACAACATGTGACTCTTGTCAGGAGAGGGACACTTTTATATCATCCTGGTGATCACCAGTTTTTTGTTAACCTTTTCTTCCAGTCCACAAAAGATCTATTTTAACAAATCCCAATTTTTCTAATGAATGACGGTGATCTTTGTTTTTTAAAAAATTCAAGTGCTGAAATTCTGTCTTGTAGACACATCTAGAACTGTCAGCATTTTATTTTGTACACCTCATTCTATCAAGCCTATTGGCTGCTTCAGGTGGCTTTTCAAATGTTAACTAATGAAACAATGGCATTTACTAATACTATTACTACAGAAACTATTACTCTAGAACTATTTCTATAGGCATTTCTTATATGCATGACACATAAATCTACAAAAGGGCCCATCAGTTGCTGTAAAGTCATCTTAGTTGCAAAAGTTCTGCAGGTCTTGTTAGCATGCTTGGATGAACATAACAGAAATACCACCATTTTTTGGTGTTCAATAAGATAATCTAATTGTCTCCTCTGGTTTTTAGTTACGAAAAAGCATTTCAGTAATAATTATTTGCCAATAATTTCTGAAATTGTGTGTTGAAATGCTATCTCCTGGGAGTATATGCACAATATACAGAGATCATCTCAATTTATATCCAATATTGAATACTTATCTAAGAATTTAATTTAAATCTATGAAAATCAAGCAAACTGAATTTCTCCCAATGACACTGCTAGTAAAATAAGACATGATGTATGACACTGTATGAGTGTGCATGCACACTGAAATTTACTTTCCAGCATGAAGTCCCAGTTAAGCAGAGGTGCACATATGATTAATGAGACATGTGGTTTGCAGTGTTATCTTCTAATTGTATTTGTCACTTAAATTAGGCCTACATGTTGGTATATGTTCATAATTTTTGCATTGCACACATTATATAAAACCACTCCTGGGACCACATCATTATTTTTTGTATCTCATGTATTTTTCTGAAGAAAACTGTGCATTAGTTTTAGGTGTGTTTTGTGCAATAAAAATTTCACACACAAGCTGATCTAAAACTCAGCAGAGCAGAATAGTATTTGCAAGAAGTAACAAATTATTCCACTGAATTTTTATTGGGCTATTTTCAAATACAGATGAATGCATTTTGTTCACATAAATAAGAGCTTTTTCAATTGTTATTATTAGCCAATTATGGAAGTGTTCAAATTATCATTCTGAAATTTTCTTATTGTTTCAATAATGTTGTCCCCTTCTTAAACAACTGAATACTTGTCTCAAAGAAGAAGCTCTCCAATTTTAAAATATAGATTATCCAAAAAGGGAGGAAAACCAAGCCCATGCCAGTTATATGTCCAAATAACATATTCTAATGACACAGAAATAACATCACAGTAAGAACACTATAAGCCAAAAGCTAAATTGTGTGTGAACAAAACACAGACATCATTCTTTAACAAATACAAAGGTTTCATTTATCCATTCCACCAAAGGAAATTGGCCACTAACTTTCATATAAAGAGTCAAATCATAAGATCATCTGTTTTTTTGCCAAATGAGGGAGCCTAACATAAACTTACTTAATTTTCCAGCTTCCTGACAAACTTCAAAAGCTGTTTATGGCTTCAGATCACAAGCAAAGACACAGGTCAGGTCTTTCACCAAAAAATACAGTAACATGAATATCTTTTGCAGTAACAGGACTTGTGGCACTTAGTTTGGCAGAGCTGGCATTTCATTCATGAGCAGGTAAGGGTGCTATGCGTGCACACACACACAAAAACATACACGCACTAACATTTGTTAGCACATTAGAGCAGAGCAACACATTTTTAAGATATCTGCCCTTCGCAAAGTTAACCCACAGATCTTTTTAAATTAATTTTTGTTGTTGAAAGCTATTTTTTCTGTTAGTGAGCACTTAAATGCTTCCATAAAGCAATGAACTGAAAGAAAAGCTATTCAGCTTTAAAAATCAGATACAAAATTGGACTTAAAAGAAATTATTTAAGTGATTTGGAAACAAATGCACTACTTTTCTCTTTGAACTACACATAGGCTAATGGACTAAGAAAAAAAAAGGAAAAACAATTTTTATTAAAAACAGCTCTAGCATTGAAATGTTCAATAACTCCACAACAAAACACTGCATTAGTTGGATAACAATGACTGCTCTTAACTGCAAACTGTAGATTGTTCTAAGAAACAATCTTTTATTCTGTAGCTTTTAAAATTATGAGCAAATACTATCAAATTCATGGTCTTGTCAGTATGCCAAAACAAAAAAACCCACCAAACAAAGACCTTAGGACATACACACCTCATAAAAACCTAGCTCCCCAAATGACTAAACCAGTTTTTGAGTAAAACGAGACAGCTGGCAAAAATCTCTGTATAATTTGGGAAACCACCATTATTTGATTACATTCATTTCACTCTTACACATCCAAATTTTCACTTACTAAAACTCACTGATAATAAAAACCCTATCCCATAATATATTTAATATCTTCCTGTGGATATTAAAATAAAGAGTTAAAATACCTCCTTTTGTTTTCCATACATATTTGCCTATATAAATATACTTCATCATTTTACAAATTACAGCATTTATATTAAAGCTTTCATTCAGCAAATCATTACAGCTTAACAAGAACAAACAATCCCTGTGTTTTGGTTCTGTCTTTAAATCACTTTTGGAGATCATGAAAATCAGCCAAAATGAGTGACTGCAAATAATACAAACAACACATTTATTTAGAAAAATAAACTGAAAATGTTGCTTGTCTGTTTGATTTTTCCATGAAGTATAGACAAATGGCTAGAAAAATGTTATGTCAAGTACATATTACAAATTACTTCTTTAGCAGTAACTGGGACTAAATGTCAATGTTCAACAGGAACATTTTTTTATGTACAATTCAATAGATTAAATTTCTCGTCTGCTAATATGATAAAAAAATGGATGCTCTTAAAAAAGATTATATCCCCTTTTTAAATACACCTTATCATGTTGCTGCTTTTTCATATATATACATATGTATATATGTATGTATATGCATGTATATGCATGTATTTATTTCATCCTAAGAAAGGACTGTAATCCTTTCTGTGAAGAGATCCCCAAAGTGAAAGAGAGCATAAATGTCTTTCTTCAGTTCTAATTTTAAATTCCATTTGAAGCCCTGGCAAAGTATAGCTTGTTGTGGTCAAAAATCTCCTGGGGCCATCTGTGCAAATGGTGGCACACATCATTACCCTGAATGGAAGTGACAGTGCAAATAATTGAAGTGCATCGAGATGCAATCTCTAAGAGCAGAACTTCCTCGAAGTTGGGTGGAGGACAGGAGACAGCCTTTTAAGTGACTTCACTTATTCCCTGTTCCTGTATGGCTTTGGATATATACAAGGGATGACAGAGGTCTTCTTCCCCATAGACAGTAACATTCTTCTGTTACAATAAATGCATCCATTTTCTGAAATTACTAAGTGCTTCCTTTCTCCTTTTCGCTACATATTGAAATCTTTGTTGATGCTGACTGTACCCATAAAAAACTTCTTGTTTGGCTGCTCAGCACAGAACTCAGGTGTCAGGCTTGGAGACAGCAGTTTCTGCAATGGGGCAAAACACTGAGTTCTCTTATCCTTCCTTCCCACTGAATGGAATTTAAGGCTGTGGCTTTTGCCAGGACTCAGCTTGTAGCTGTCAGATCTGAGAAAGATGATTCAAATGCAGATTACACTAGTGCTCAGTTGTGCTCTGACTTCAAGGGTTCTTCCATTCTCCACTAAGGGTCAGGTTTCCTGGTTACTTCTCAGATCTGGCCTGCAAGAAGTCACAATGATGAATCTGATATGCAAATTAATTGACGTACCTCCATATATATAGATACTCCTTCAAGCCTGAAGGTGCTGTTAAAAAAAAAGAAGGGCAAAGTTATAAAAAATGTTACGTTAAATAGGCAAGTTAATAAACAGAATATAATTATGAATTATCATTTCAGTTTTCATGTAAGCAGGAGTTCAAAATGGCATTTTGAAACGACCTTTTATAGTTGCACTTCATTTTTTTTTTCACTTTTTTTTTACTAGGGTAAATGGGTTTAACTTCAACAGTGTCTTTGAAATCACATTATTTACATCTCCTGTGAAATCTGTACTCTAATATTTGTTTGTAAATGAAACAGAAAGTGAACTCAGCAGAATTTCCCCATCTGACAAGTTTTCTAGTCACTAAAATATTATATATATTCTGATTTGGGTCTTTCATATTCATTTTTGTGAAACTGTTTTAATTTTTATAAAACACTAATAAAGCTGCAATCTAATGCTGAGGTTCACTGACTTACTGAGCTTTCCTAGCTTTATTTATTAGGGAAGATAAAGCAGCAGTATCTAAAAATGGTATCTTAGAATACTTACCTGTTGGTAGCTAGGACACTAATTCGAGTTAAAGGATTAAATTCACACCTCTGGAGGAAAAGATAACAATTTTGTCACGTGCTTTTGCTGATTTATACCCAGAGTTACATCTTTCAGAGAGGAGGAAGATTACTTCTTTGCCATTAGCTTTTTGAATGTAGTCCCTCATTCACATTTCCTCATATTTCTTACTTGAACCATTTAAATTGACAAAGATTGTCAGATTGTCAAGGGGTAGGGCAGAATTTCTCTGTCAGACAAAAAAAAGGAATCTGAATTTGGTGTATGTAAACTTTCAGTTTTTTCCCCCAGCATTAAATGAAAAGATGAAATATTTAGTGAAACATATTTAACACTCAGAATTGTTACAGTGGCCTAGTGTAACCCAACAGCTTAGCAAACATGGTAGATTTGTGATATCACTGGCTTAGCAGGAAGTTGTTTTCCTAGTCAACTATTCAGAGTTTGACTCACATTCTTAATGAAAAAAAAGTGTTCTAAATGTCTTTTACTTTTAAACTGAAGACAGTCTTCATATCACTAAAACCACAAAACACTTTCTCAGCTATCACAGTTTCAGGCTTCAATTACATTTGGGCTAATGATTCCTGTATGTTATTACCTCATAAAGATCACCAAAAAAGACAGTATTGTCCTTGAATGCAGTTAAATTCTCAGGAACAAGATGAATATAGTACAACTAACATATACTGTTAAAATAATTATAATAATACTCATAAAAGAGAAAATATGAATAGTATTTGTTGTCAGAAAACAGTTTTTCCTTAAACTTAGACTCTGAATATAGTAAAATACAATGCTGAGCACTGTAGACATGAAGAGCAATATGATTCTTTCTTTTCCTCTGGGTTGCAATTCATAAACATAGTATCACGCTATCAATAGTTTAATCCTAGACTAAGTAATATGCAGTTCCACAATCCCCCCCCATGATACAGTGGGTTGACTAAAAAAGCTGGGAAAAAAATTGATAAACCATAATAAAGTTAAAATACTGTAATAATAATGAAAACAAAAACAACTGTAACAAAAGTGAGGCTAAAAAAAAAAAAAAAAAAAAAAAAANAAAAAAAAAAAAAAAAAAAAAAAAAAAAAAAAAAAAAAAAAAAAAAAAAAAAAAAAAAAAAAAAAAAGAAAAAAAAAAAAAAAAAAAAAAAAAGACAAATAAACTAAACCCCAAGACAGAAAAGTGACAGACAATTCAATCTGGCTCACCACCTGCTGACTGACATTCAGCCTGTCCTCAAGCTGTATGAGCACCTCCCACCCAACTCCCCGCCATGAGTTTATGGTATGGAATATCCCTTTAGTCAGTTTGGGCCACCTCTCCTGGTTTTGCTCCCTCATGGCCTCTTATGCACTTCCTCACTGGCAAAGCAGAGAAGCAGAGGAAGCTGAAAAGTCCTTGATTTTCGGTATGTACTACCTAGCAACAACTGAAACACCAGTGTGTTAATCAACATTATCCTCATTCTAAATCCAAAACACTACTGAGAAAAAAATTAACTCTATCCCAACCAAACCCAGGTGACTGCTTACAAAACCAGCAAGAGATTTATCAAGCATACTTGAATTTCTCCATCATCTCTGTCATTGAGCTGTCAACCCACACAATTTGATTAATTCCAAATCATTCAACCATATGACATCCACCCTCATTTAATCAACATTCTACCAAGGAAGAAAAGACTGCCTTTTTTTCTTTATACTAAATGTGCTAAAGATTAAGAACAATGAAAATATTTTGCACCTTTACACATTAATAAAGAATATGTTCAAATTAAAAATTATGGTTAAACTTGCTCAGTGGAATATTCATTAGGTGGCAATGCCTGCATTAAAAACCAGCTGTTCTTCTTGCTACCTCCCCCCAAAATCTACACTTGAAAACCATTATTGTACACATGAAGAAGTAAGAAGCTAGTGAAAAAACACCAGTTACTGAAAAAACCACCTGCCTACTAATTACAGACTCCTTATAGACTATAATCCTATAGTGTGTACTGTTTTTGATAGCAAGGCTGTACATTCAGATTTAATTCATCATTACAAAATCTTTTTGTTGCAGCATACCTTATCACTAACCTCATTGTAATAAAACCCTGACCTTCTTAAAGTCATTATCTGGGGGCTAGGGCTCAGATAATTTACAGGAAATAATTTTGTTCACTCACCTCCCTTCTTCTCTTCAGTACTTGGACAGCATCACCATGTCATTCTCTTCCTTCTACAGCATCATTATTTAGTCCCAAAAGCTAGAGAGTCAAAGAAACCAATGTTGCTGTTCTCCCCATTATTCAAAACTAGATAACCACTTCTTTCATACTAAAAAATAAATTTTACTTTGCTGTATTACCTGAAAACTGTCTACATCCTTCTGCTTTGTTCTGTTTATCAGTCTTCTTAAAAAACTGAGAGTGAGTCTAGTCCCACCTACAACAACATGGCCATGACCATACTGTCACAACAATATTGTCATGACCATGACCATTCTCATCATGGCCATGACCATATTGTCTCAGGACAAATTGCTATGCAGAACCCTGTGGATAGAAAATGTTAAGGGACAAAGTTACTAAGGGAAGCCTCCTTTCAGCCTCAGACCCACAAAATGTCTACACCATTCTCAGATAAATCCAGTGGCATGGTTGGAAGACACCAAGAAAATGATAGAGAAGACATCATCAACTTTGAAGTGATACGTGCAGTGAGAATGCCAATGATCACAGAAAGGAACACTTCCACTGAAGGTTTCTATGCTGGGCCTCATGCCTTTTATCAAGAAAAAATGAGAAAACAACTAGAAACATGTTCAATGGAGATTAACTGGATTTCTACTAAACCATGTAATTTCTGTATCATTGTAAATCTGGTAAAAGCACCTGAAAGTCTAGCCTAAAGAAAAGCATCATTATTTGGGCCATTTTAGCCCAGACACTGTAATTTGGACATATGTTATTATCTTTTGTAAGTACACTGCCAGCCAGAGCACATGCCCAGCAATTATCTATACTCACATATTCAGTACAACAGAAGTTTTTACTTTTTGAAAAAAAAAAATACAAAAAATCATATAGTAATAAATCTTCCTAAACATAGTGCAAATATCTTATACATATTGTTTATATACTAATATAATGGCATCTGTTAAGTTGTTGTTATGTTTTGGTTGGCCAATTTCAGATTTCCTGGCCAATGCACCAATTAATGTTGTGGGTCTAAGGCTGACTAAACGCTAGTGCATCCACTAAAATATACTTACTAATTTCTTGCTATGAGATAGGATTAGGAGGAAGGCAAAGCAGGCTCAAAACTTAAAGAGTATAAAGAAAAGTTTATTAACAGACATAAAAGAATAATAAGAATCAGAATAAAACCTTCAGAACACTTCTCTCCCTACAATCCTTTCTTTCCCACTACCAATGTACAGAAACAATTCAGTCAGTTTATCACCTCTAGAACAGTCTTCAGTTCACTAAGTGAGAGGAGTCCCTCTTGTCATTTTATGGAGAGTTCTCTATAAGAAAACAGTTCTCTCATGGCGTTTAATTTCCATGAATAGCAGCCACCCAGGAATCTACAATTGTGAAGTCCCTCCCATCTTTTCACAGCCTTTCCACAGCTATGTTTATGGGCTATGTCATATGGGGTACTATTTTAAGGATGAACTGTTCAAGACCAAAGGTTCTCTTTATCTATCTAAGAGATCATCTTCATCTCTGGGAACAGAGGTTTTCTTCTTCTTTCCCTGGGGGTAAAGGGTCTTCATTACTTGTCTCTCTCTGTTCCAACTTCTCATGGGATCACAGCTACTTCAGCTGCTTGCTTTAGTATAGATGCCTTTGCTCATATCTACAATTTGAACACTTCATCCCCTGTTGCTATCACACTGGTGCGCTAGTGTGGAGGAAGGGTTTTAGAAAGGCCTTGGGAATGGAAAACTGAGGAAAAGATACATTTATGTATGCCCCATTGTTTTGGGAAAGTTTCGCTTCAGCATTTCTCTGTGAACTCCCTTCTCCCCACCCCTGAGCAGTTCCCATTGGATCTGACCCCTGGGGTGGTTCTGATGTGTCCAGGCTGGACACTGTCTCTTTTGTTTAGACCTTATCTCTTAATTTTGCTGTATAAAACTGTATCTGGGCAATAGCCTGGGGCCTTTGGTCACTGCAACGCTTCAGGCAATAGAATCTCTCTGGACAAGCATACCATTGGTCTCTCTTGGTCTCTTTATGTCGAACCCTTGCGGCGACTGAGGCAACGCCGCAGCTCGTACCGTGCTAACCCAGCCGCTGCCTGGTAAGCCCAGGGCAGTGGGACCGCGGCAGACCCCGGCCCCGGAGGGGACAGCTAGCCGGAGGGTCCCGGGGGCTGGGGAGGGGCGGGGGACAGCCGCAAGTGACCTCCGAAAGCCACAATCCCCCATACTTTTAAATGAGTTACACGGAAAAAGAGTCTGACGTATCAAT